TTCTCTCACACACAAACAGCCCTGTCTACCTCAGAAGGTTGTTATAGGGGGAAATGGGAGTTTTATTTATATCTTGAACTCCTGAAGGAAAGGCATAATAGACATCTAAGGAACATTGAATAGTGACCTTTTCCCTTCTTTTCTTTAAATCATTTGCTTGACAACCTATTGAATATAAGCCAGCATTGACTGAATTGAGACATTGCACTTGGCCAAAACCAAACCATCCACATCATGAATGGGAGTGATGTAAGAATGCAATGATTGAGTTATTACATCATGGCTTTGAAAAAAGCCACAATTGCCTGGGTCCACATAACATGGCAGGGAGACAAAAATTTGCCAGTACAGTTTAGCACATCTATATGGCTGAGTATGACAGGAATTTATTTACTAAATAAAATATTTGTAGGAATTGTAGTACAATATATTTGGAAGTCAACAGTTGGAGAGCTAAATTCTACTCTGATCATTTTTGCTGATGGCAAAGAGGTAGAATATTGTGATGAATTGACTGGATACAAAAAACTGCATATTTAATACCTACTTGGCTTCTCCCGTTTCAATAAACACCATAGTGTTCTACTGTATTGTATTTTTAAAAAATACAGTACTGGATGTAATTATCCATTTGGTCTCATGCACATGTGGAGCTGGAGTAAAATCTCAAGATAGTGGCTTTTTGTGCTTGGAGGAAGGAAGATGTTTTGCAATAATAGACTATTTGGGGATATTATTTTTGTAGTTTGAGGCCATCTCTGACTGCAGCTAGTAAGAAGATACAGATAGTCCTCGACTTACAACAGTTCATTTAGTGACCGTTCAAAGTTATATCATTGCAAAAAGTGACTTGTGACCATTTTTCACACAACCATTACAGCATTCCCATGGTCGTGTGATCAAAACTCAAGATGCTTGACAATTGACTCACACACTTATGACGGTTGCAGTGTCCTGAGGCATATGATCCGCTTTTGCAACCTTCTGACCAGCAAAGTCAATGGGGAAACTCGATTCACTTAGCAGTTTGTGAATCTGTTTTAACAATTTAACAACTACAGTGATTCGCTGAACAACTGTGGCAAGGTTGTAAATTAGGGCAAACTCACTCAACAAATATTTCACTTAGAAACAGAAATTTGGTCGTCAGTTGAGGACTACCTGTACTTAATAATGTTGAGGGGATGAATGTGTGTTGCTAGTTCCAGGATATGAGCTTTTCACTCATTCCTTAGGAGGAACAAAGAATGATTCCCTTCTTGACAAAAACTAGGAGTTGGTGTGCTGTCGAACTCCAGCCAGTGAAAAGAATGTGGGCAGGAATCCATGTTGGGGTTTCTGTGGCCAGCAAAGGGGGGGGGGAGGCAAATCCTTCAAGTAAAGTCCATGCTTAAGCCTGCTGTGTAATCAAACTTTTATCCTTTGCGCTGCAGTACAATCTCCCTCTGTAGGAGTTATACTAAAGACTGGTTGGGAGCCATTTCAAGGATTGGCAATTGCTTTGGTGGTAAAATTTTTGAGAAGCGTTTATTCAGGAGCAGCACTTGGATGAAAAAGTCCGGCAGCCTTATCCCACCCCATGTTCTTAAGGTAGGCTGACAGCTGGCTGGATAACCAGTTGAGTGTGTATACTTGGGATCCTATATCAAAGAACAATTTCAAAACATTGTGTGCTGTTTCGGCGGGGAAGAATATATCCAAAACAAGGGGACAGTAGAATTAAAAATAGTTTTTATTTGCTTCATTGTTTGCCTTTCCTTTTACTCTTGGTGGAAGGATGCTTATCTCTTTTGGAGTGGAGAGATGAGTAGCCATTATAATCAATAGTTCCAACATCTGGCTGACCACACATTCCCCCTTACCTAATATAAGCAACTTTTTATCCCTTCACTCCAATTCAAGCTTCCCCATGTCCTCTCAGACACACAGGAATTCCTAACCGGGATAGGCATTCTGGGAACTGTAGTCCCAAGAGCTCAAGATTGTTTGGTTGAGGAAAGAAAAGAAGCTGTTTTCATCATCTCTAGTTGCCACCTGGCCTTTTTATTAAACGGTATATTTTTTGTGGACTCCTACTGCACACAGACAGCATCTGTTCCTCAAAAGGAACATGCTTATTTCAGTGGGAACGCCTGTGGCTCCTCTTGAATTGTCTAGACCCAGAGATATTCAGCAGCCTACAAAGAGACAGAAACAGCTTAAACAATCACATAACTTCTACATTTAATTAACAACGGCAGCAAATGCTCTCTTGTTCACTTACTGTATTATCACTTGCTTAATCTTTGTCAGTTTTGACATTATTTCACTGACATAAAATTAACAAGGCAATTACAATGTCCTTTTGCAAAGAATGCTAGACTCATTCACTCTCTCATGGTCTCCTCCTCTTCCTCTCCCCCCCTCCCGCGCAGCACATATTGGGGCAGAAGCAGTCTGCCTTTCTGGCTTCAAGGTAGGCATATTGTCCCAGCTGGTAACTTGGAGCAACATGAGATGCATTTAATAATCATCAAAGTCAACGGTGGAATAAATAGAATAATCCTTTGAAAGCCAGGATTATCCCTAGAGAGAACCAGTGTGGTTCTGATTTTCAGAGGCTTGCTCTGCTTCCATGGCTGGGTTGGTGTTGTCTTTATTCCCTTCACTCTGATAGGATATTTTTTTTTAAAAAAAATAAGTTTTATTGGTTTTTAAAGTTTTACAACAAGGTGCTCTAGGAACACCGTGGTGATGGGGTAATCAATCATCAAAAAACAAAATCTTGTGTATATAACTCACATTAATACATTAAACGTTCCCTCTCTATTTCCTCAAATAGTATAGCATATTTAAAATAGTCCATTCCTGCTTTTAAGCTTTGCAAATTTGCAATTACCATAATCCAATTCAATCTTAATTAAACATATTGATAACACTTCAGGTATCTCTTCTAAAATAGCAATAGCATTCAAATATTTCCAAATGTATTCTAATTCTTAACCTAATGAGTCAATAATTTTATCAGAAATCTCTTATATCTTCTTCCAGTACATAATAATTATCCTAGTTAAAATAAAAAAACATTATAATGATAGATTGATAATCTATCAATCTATTTCTATGTCAAAACAAAACACAACACAAAATCCTTTCCGTCCATTAACTAGAATTTAACTCTCAGCCAAATAATTATCATATCTAAAAGATACATAATGTTACACCAAATATCCTCTTACTATCTTGACATACTCAATTAATTATTAAATCAACCCAACTCTCTAAAGCCTCTTCCAATTTCTTATTCTTGTTCCATTATAGAATAGTTGCCATAAGTAAAATAAACATCTTATTTCAGAAAATACATTCTTATTCACTCTGATAGAATAATTTTTGAAGGGATCAATAGATATTAGGATCCTCAGAGGAAGGGAGGTGTTCAGGCATCTCTGTCCTTACTGCAGATTGAGTATCATAGAGATTCTTAGGCAGTTTCTACTATTCATACAGATGAAGCTGCCATCTTTACCTGACGTGATTAATAGAAGATAGCATGCAAACAAACCAATGTAGGTTCATTTCTTGTCTTAATTTTTCACTGTATATTAAGCAAACAAAACTTTAGTGTTAAGATTATTTTAGGGTTTATGCTAGACTTTTAGTGGCTTCCCTGCTCAATGTTACGGGAAATCAGCCTGCTGATTTTCGGGCAACCCAAAAGAGTGCTTCAGAGGTCACAGATTGCTCTTCTGTGAATTACATCAGGAATATGCTGGGACAAAAGAGTAACAGAGTTGAAGAGAGGTAAGACTCCACTGCATTTGTTTCAAATTGAATTACATTATGAATTTGCTTACTGTCACTGCAGTGATTGTAAATACATGAAAAGATGTCATCTATTCTATAGCAAATATATATGGGCACCTCTTAGTTTCACACTTATGAACCAACTGATGGTACTGAGAAGCCTGATGTAGGAGTCATCTGGTGTTGACCTCAATGGTTAAATAGCTGCTTCCAACTCTGTGGTTTCAGCTTGTTTTACTGTATGCCTGTGTGAATGCTGTATTTGTACTGTACGTCTAATTAATCTACAGAGAGTTTGATCAAGCATGAACCCATCCAACTATGGTTTATTCAATAAAACATGGTTAAGCAAATTATACTTTGGGGCAATGTGAACTTAGTCAATGAGCCTGAAACAGTCTAAGGTGGTAATCCTAAATACATAATTCCCAGGGAATAAATCCAGCTGGTGTATTCATGCAATATACTTACCATATTCCACTGCAAAAGCTGGGTTTAATCTAAATTGTGGTAGGTTTGTAACTCAAACTTATGTCAAGCCAGCTACTTTGTACCAGATTGTATGTTAAAGTGAAAATAACATTAGATAAACAAACATTGACATAAGATGAATATTAAGTAAAACTAGATAGCCATCTAATTCATTGGGCCATCTTTTCAGAGATATTTCCTTACCTAAACAGAGAAACAGAATGACTATGGATAGGTAAAAAAAGCAATGGGAGCAGGAGTGGGCTTTAGCTTTCTGCTGGCTTCCCCATTGATTTTTCTTATGAGAAGCTGGAAGTGTGTACTGGAAATCATGATCATAGGACCATGGTTAAGCGTGTTGCAGCAGCCACAGCTTTACAAATGCAATTGGTTTGAAGATCCTTGAAATTTCAATTACATGGGAACAATGGGCTGCACTATAGTAATAACCCACTTTTTGCTAAATTGTTCTCTTTCCTCCACCCTGTAATAATGAATCTTTGGGAATTTGCAATACATTATAGATAGGCATAAAAATACACATTACTTGAATTAATCCCTGTAACTGATGATATCTTTAACCAAGATTACTTTATTCCTTAAACCAGAGGATATAAAAGACTGCACAAGAATTAAGAAGGGAGCCAGTATGCACCACATCAATCATTTCAATGCAAAACAAATAATCTTCAGTTGAGTTAGAATGGGGAAAAAAAGCACAAAGGCAGCCAGTCTCAAGAAGAGAAGGTTTCTTAGTGGATTTATTACTTGCATTTATTTTGGCTCTTTCTCCAGTAAGCTCAAAGTAGTGCAATAATTCTTCCCTCTGCTTTATCCTTATAATAACCTATAAAGTAAAATAAGCTGAAAGACAAAAGCTGGGATTGGATACGTTTAGCCATGCTTAATTCAATCGAAGCAGTCAAGTTTTCAAAGCACATTGAACCATAAAGTACAAAGGTTGGAACTGATCAATATAGGCTTTATCAGCATAAACTCAGCCAGGGTCTATCAGATAGTTGAACAGACAACAGAATTGATTCCACAATCTTTATTAAATGCAGTTTAGATTCAGATATTGATTTAATTCATTGTTTACTTAACTTTAGTTTATTGAAGCCATAACTGGGTTCACACATCAATCAAGCCATATTCCATAATTCACAAATATCATTTCACACAAAACACTTAACAAAATGAAAGTAATTGTAGGGTTTAATGTGATGACCAAAAGCACTCTAATTCAGAGTTTGGTAACCTATGCTGTCCAGGTATTACTGTTGAATTATCCTTCACTATTGACCATAGTAGCTGATTTATAGTTTTGATCATAGTTAAAATATCTGAGGGATATAATTCTACATTCTCTGTGATAATTGGATCCTTTTATAGAAACTCTCATCTTGATGGTTGTAAAACATGCTTTTATCAGAGAAAAAATTTGCTCCTTAAATCCAAGTTAAAGCAGCAGAACCTTGAAGAATTTTAATACAGAAGAGGTAAAGATAAACACTTCCTTCAATCAAACTCAGCCTCTGGTTCATGTTCACGAGTTTTCTTGGCAACACAATATTAATGGATTGCTGCCTTCTTCTGTAAGGTCCTTCTCCTGATGGCCTCCCATCCAAGTATTTTGATTCTACTTGACCTTTTCCAGATTAGCCACGTTTGATTAGATACAAGAATCTGCTGTGGGCTGTTAAGAAAAAAACATTTAAGTACAACATGGGCAATGGCACAGGACAGTTGATTGTCTTTAATTATGGCAATTGCTCCAATCCTGTAACTGTAACTTTGTTATCTGGGAATAAGGCTACTCAACTCCAGATTTATTGATTAAATGCATTGGGAACATGGTCATATTTGATCCACGCTACGGCCTTCGACTATTCTTCTGTGCACTGGGTGGAAAAGAGAATGACTTACATCAACCTTCCCTAAACTTACCGTCTTTCAGCTGGCATACTAGGAAACTTTCCCAGCCAGCACCTGGAGGGCGCCAGGTTGGAGAAGGACGCGGAAATAACTTCGTCTCGAGGGCCGTAGCCCGAATTCTACTGGCATACCTCGCGTGCACATACGCCGGCGCGCTCTTCCCACCCTGGGTACTAAGCGGCGGGAAGCAGCACCCAACACCACCAACTGATCCCTCAGCCACCGCTACTCCCGCAGCACCGCCTTCTGTTTTCCCTAATCCCTCCCACCCCCTCCTTTATTGGCTTTGCCATGCGGTGACCCCGCCTCCTTATCAAATCTCGCGAGGATCTCGGGTGCTCAGAAAGCGGGGAGGGGGGGCACAGCAATCCACCACAGCGAGACTTGGGGGCTGCTGCTCGAGAGTGGGGAGAGTCCCGTTAGTGTCGGCGCCAGGCGGAGGGGCACGGGGGACTTGAGGGAAAAGAAACTCGGTCACTTTCCCTCCTTCCTCCACTCCCGAGGTGAGTGTCTCCGTTGCTTCTCAGCTTCTCTCACCCGTTCTCTCCTTCTCCTCCCCTCAAGAAAAGCCTAACTCCTCCAAGACTTGGGAGATGGGGTTCCGCCTGGCGGTGATTGGCAGCTCAGCCGCATCAATTAGCGCAGAGGTCGGGACGAGTGGTGGGCGAATCGGCTAATCAGAGCGTGAAGCTGGAGCGAGAGCCCGCCCGCTTGCCTGGATGTGGGCGGGGCTTAGAGGGCTGTGAGGAAGCTCTGAGAAGGGGCCCGGGCGGTGGCCAGGAGGAGGGGCGCGCGGCCAGGAGTCGGAGTGATGGGCGTGCGAGAAGGGAAGAGTTCGGGGCAGCCTGGGTGGGTGGCCCAAGGGTGCTTCTCGCACATGTGTATGGATAGGTGTGTATGTATACATATGTGGTGGAAACGGCTGGGAATGAAAAAGACAGATAGTCCGGGGCTCTGAGGTTTATGAGAGACAAAACAGCAGCATCCTGAAGGAAGGAAACCTGAGTGGTGTTACTGATCTGAGACGATTAACAGTTCTTGCAAAGACTTAATGGAAGATATATGTCCCAATAGAGACACCCCCCCTCCAAAAAAAACCCCATATTGGAGATTGTTGTACAGTATACTAAAACAACAAGGGTGACTGGATCAATGCTTAAAAGATACTGCAGAGTCAGTGAATAAGCTTTGGAAGGCCCTCCTAGATCACTCGGAAAAACTTCCATCTTTGGTGCCCAAGAAGATTATGCAGAGAGTGCAGCTGTGAGTTCCTTTTGACACACCTATGAAGTAGAAATTAGGGGTAGCAAGTCTCCCATCTTATGTTTGCCTTTCTGGGTAGTGTAGTTGATGGAGAAGTTACTGGCCGGACTGCCCAGAGGAAATCAAGTGAATAGCAATTGCTGCTCCTGTGATTATTTGCTTGTCCACAAAATATCCATTTCCATGTGAATGTCCAACCTTTTTGAGAGGGTATGGGGTGTCTATAATGCAATACAAAATGAGTTAGGGATGGGAAAGTGTACAGAGATGGCTTCTTCTGGAAGTACTGCTGTTTTGCTTTTCAACAAGCTGAAAAGGACGAGTGTTGCTTATATTGCTTTAGGAGGTGCTCCCCACCCTAAAAATGATGTTACTCTGCTGGTACTGTTTCACCTCCTAATAACTATAGAGGCATCTGCATCCCATAACCCTTCTTCAGCCCCATCAAATGAGATTTCCCACTAAGAGAAAGACCTCACATTTTGTATTACTAGCAGAGTGATGCTCCTGAACTGTTTAAGGGGATAAGATAAATGACTAGGAGATAGCAAATGTTTGCTCACCTGAACTGATAGTCAAAATAGTTGTTGCGGGAAATTGCTGTAAACTAAAATCTTCTCTTTAGATTATACAATAGCTAAATAGCTCTGTCTACCATGACAGGTGTCTTTTGGCTCCTTACTTTTTCTTATCTCCCTACTACTACTACAGTATATATAAAGAGGTAGGGCTGGCAAGTAAGCAGAGATCATTACTTTTTAAAAATAACACTCGCTTGCCAATTTTGAATGGGGAGGAGGAAATGATGCTTGCATCATGATAGGTGCCAGTAAGGCAGTCTACTCTAGTGGAATGGATAAACATGGTTGTGACAGCATAGAGGGTTGAAGATTGCTGCTTTGCCATGTCAGCTAGTTAATTGAAAGTGACATCATTGAGATCACAAAGTTCAGCAGCCCAGTGACACTAGCTACAATCATCATGGAAAAGATAGTGTCCATTTGGGAACATTAATTGCATCTTTGTCAGCCCCTTGAGTTGGGTGCAGACATTATTTTCTTTTAAGGAATGTTGGAAGTAGATTATTCTTCCTGATTGGCTTTGTCAATTTTTTTTCACAACATAGCATGCTTATTTCACACCATCAACATTGTACTAAAGCACTAACTTCAGTTGATTGATTTGTTGATCTGAATCTAACGGGGGCAGTGGCAGACTAGGTTGGAGCTAAAAATAGTCCTTGACTTATGAACACAATTGGGACCAGAATTTCCATTATTAAGCAATGTGGTTGTTAAGTGAGCTGTGCCAGATTTCATGACCTTTTTTGCTGTGGTTGTTAAGCAGATCACTTCAGTAGTTAGGTGAATCATGATGCCATTCGGTGAATCTGGCTTCCACTGTTGACTTTGCTTGTTGGAAACCAGCTGGCAAGGTTGTAAATGATGATTATATGACCCTGGGATGGTGTAAACATTGTAAATACATGCCAGTTGTCAAGCACCTGAATTTTGATTACATGACCACAGAGATGCTGCCAGGGTCATAAATACAAGTCACATATTTCAGGGCTGTTGTAACTATGAACACTAGCTAAATGAATGGTTGTAAGTCAAGGCCTACCTGTATAATATTTGGAAATATATTTTTAATATGCATACCCGATTTAGCAACACCTTACGGTATCCACAATGATACAAAAGATGCTTTGTAAAAAAAAAAAAAAGTCCAAAATATGCAGATTACCCCACTATCTTGCTTGCAAGTGCTTTCATTTCAGTGGCAGTAATTGCAGCTTGTTTTGCTTAGAATAATACATGATATTTGTGTGGCTTATTTTAAGAGCTCCAGATGCTTCACACAGAATCTTAGCGACAACAGCAGTATGGGAAGTATTCTAATCTAGTCTGAATAGCTATTCAGAAAATGAAGAATAGTGGTTTCCCTACAGCTGCATGGTCAAGTTTCAGTTAATACAACATTTGAATTATAGATTTACAGGCTAACTTTCAGCCATTGAATTAACATTACTTTTTGTCCTGCAACTTTGTATGTTGGTGTTATGTTAAACTGAACGTCTTCATGTGAAACAAATTGATAAGGAATAAAAAATGTCAAAATTGAGAAATGTAATATTTTATGTTAACATGATGACAAGTTCCTTTGCTGCCTGAAGTTACATGAAGCAATTTATAATCAATTTTAATTTAAACTATCATTATTCACTATAAATTGTATAGTAGAGTGTTCCATCAGACACTTAATCACTTGTTATGTCCTTGTATTGAAAACAAATGCTTTGCTTCCAATAAATGAGAGGTGGGCTTTGTCTGAATATTATTAAGCTTATCTTATATTTGTAAACTATGGGAGAAAGGGAGACTGTGGCAGGGGAATTGAGGAGATGGAAAAAGAGTAGGGAGGCTTAGGATGATTAATTCCTCCTTCATAATACCTTACTCCCTGTAAAACTTTCAGATATTAGGATTTCTCAGTTCTAGAATTGGAAAGGGAGATTAGATTCTACATTCTGTTCAGATGCAGGGCCTTGTCCTTGACTTTAGAGGGCTAAAAGCTAAGGATTCTGTGATGCCCTATTGACTATAGGTCTTAAGTATTAATTTTTCCTTAACAGTTGGCCCTGATATTAGCATGTGTTGATTTAATATATTGATGTCATGTCAGAGTTTTTTCACATTGCAGCACTGAATGCTACTAAATAATCAAATAATCAAAGTGAAATTACTCAAAACTTGTGAAAATTGTGGAAGACAAAGAAAAGGTGATTTGATTCAAGATGTTTCCACTCCTTTTGATAAGAACCTCGTAGAATAGCACTGTGCTTTGACAGAATTGTTTGAGAGCATTGGGTATAATGGGGCTGATAAATATATTGAACCGTCTTTAGGTAGAAATTAATATACTGCTTTCCTACCAAGTGTTAAGTAAGTTCTATTTCTGAATCAAACATTGTAGATATGTTGGCTGTGTCTGAGGACTTGAAAGTGTACTTTTGTAAAGTTTTGAACCATTAGTTCAACAAAATAATGGGGCTAATGTAAGAAGAGTCCCTTAGTCCAAATATTAAATGGCATACATAAAACGATCAACCTATTTTATCCATTATTCTACTAAAATGAAGTCCAGCAAATTAAGGGTTTACTACAGTAACTTCTGGTAACTACATGGACATATCCATGTTGCTTTGGTGCAATATGGAAGTAGTTTCCTTTGCCTTCTTCCAAACCTTTAAAGTTATTTTTTGTGTGACTTATCATTATCTTCCGTAACCTAAGTACCTTCTTAGTAACTAGATTTTCAATTTCCAGAACTGTTACTAGGTGTACTTGCTGACAAATTTTGTGAATCAAATACTTTTTATTTTATTTATGTATATCCTACCTTTATTCTAACTCAAGGTGACGAACGTATCCAACATACCTTCTCCCTCCTATTTTCTCCACAACAACAACTCTGTGAGTGAGTTGGACTGAGAGAGAGTGACTGGCCCAAGGTCACCCAGCTGGCTTTCATGGCTAAGGCTGGACTTGAAATGACAGTCTCCCAGTTTCTAGCCTGGTACCTTAACCACTAGACTAAACTGGCTCTCTTATCCAGAAAGTGTTTAAGTAAGAAAAATTGTCTTGTATCGACTGGGGGGGAAAAAATCAGAAACTTTAGGATTTAAATTTTTTGTAACCATATCTTTATATCTATATTTGTTCCACCTATCAAATATTTTTTATATTATGCAATGCTCCTACCTACAAGTTACATAATGCTCACCTGGATGAATAAAAAAAGATAAGTATCATTGACTATTTATAGTCCACACAGTTATCTGTGGCCAATAAGTAGAAAAAGTATTTTTATCAGGTAGGAATAAAATGTTGTAGGCTTCCATTACGATACAAGAATGAGCAGATTTATTTTCAATACATATACAGTTATTACCCAAATACATTTGCTTACTGACCATGCAAGACTTTTCTGCTGGCCTACTTGTCTTTAAATATTGTAAGTGAAAGAATTGTGTTTTTACTATACTTTTGTTTGGATGCCAAAAATCTGAGCTTGCCATGTGGAATTACTGCATATTTAACCACCTGGCTACTAATGGGAATTAGGAATGGTTTGCAGAAAAGCACATAGAACTTCCTCCAGACAAGTGAATAGGCTATTAAAGAGGAACTGAGACCTTTGTCCTTTCTTTGCCAGCCTTTAGCTATTGTGCTAGCAA